TCCTCCTCGACCAAGGGAAAGTCATCCTCTTTGTAGGCTTCTTCTCTTACCTCTGGGGCCTGGGACTCCTGAGGGCCTGCCTTGGCACTGAAGACTGAAGCAAAGGCGGCATTCAGTAGCTCTGCCTTCTCTGCATCCTCCGTCATCAGGACACCCGCCTCATTCAGCAGTGGCCCCACATTATCCCAAGTCTTCCCTTTGCTGCTGATGTAGTTGGAGAAGCCCTTCTTGTTGTTTTTGACATCCCTTGCCAGCTTCAATTCCAAGTGGGTCTTGGCCTTCCTTGTTGCACCCCTGCATGCTCTGACAACATTCGTGTACTCCTAGAAGACAAGTTTGAAACCCACTGGTCACCAACGCACGTTTTCATAACATAGTGTTAGGTAAAACAAGATAATAGTGTGTGTGCGCACACTGAGTTTTTGGAAATAGGCTCATCCTCATCCTCAGTTTTTTTTTTCAGATGCTTCCCTCTTTCACAGATGTTTACCTGGGAAAGCGTTTCCACAAGGGCTCATGAGTTGTGTCGTGTATCATGATGAGGATTGTCCCTTTCAGGATTTTGCGTCAGTGAGGAAAAACTTTTTCTGCAGTCTGGTGAAATTTTCTGCCTGCTGCCACCTTTTCTAGTGTCTCTGCCTGGTAATCGAGCTATTTTGGAGCTCACTTAACTGTAAGGGACAAGATTTTCCGAATGTTCTACTACCTGAAAAACAGGACTTCCTTTGTGTGTTTCTGTCGTTCTTGGTTATATTGGAAGAGGCTATGTCCTCCTTAAGTCTGACAGTGGAAAGATTTGGATGGTCTGCAGAAGCGATGACCTCCGGAAGTCCCGTCTGACCTGAATTAGTCTGTTCTGTTATTCAGCATATTCACAGCCAGTGTAGTGAGTTCCTGTAGTAAGAAAAGCTTTTTCCTGTTCTGCTCACTGCAGTGTAACAGCACCTATTGTTGAAGTGATCTACGATGCATCTGGGAATTCAGTTGCTGTGTTCCTTTGCTACAGTGTGACCCTTCTACTTAAGAGGCAGAATGTTGAAGACAAGTAGTCACATAAAGTGGGATTCCTTGTCTAATTGTAAATGTGTGGACATCTTATAGTCGGTGAGAGGGGATTGGCATCTGTGGGATACAACTTAATCTCCACCTAAGGCTGGGGAGTCATAGCGCAGAAATGACTGTGTCCCCCAGTTTGCCGTGAAGAGATGTGGTGAATATGCAAGGTCAGTGTATATGTCAGAACAACCTATAAATTTTGGTAGATAAATCCCATTCTTAATGGTTCATTGTGTTTGTTAGGACCACTACATGGTTAATGAGAACAGAAGTGCTTTGTTTAAAGAGTGTTTGTACGTGGTGTTGAACAGCAGCAATCTATGGGATCTAGCTGAAGAACAATGGTTTTGTGAAGGTCAGGCCAGTCCAACACTCAAGATCAGAGAAAGAACAGCACTGATGGGGTTGAGAATTAACAAACACTGTTGGAGACCCAGAGATGGTACATGGTAGAAATCTTCAAAGACTGCAAACTATATATAATTTGAAAGGAAGATCCTTGTGGGTGTTTTCTGCATGAACATCAGTGAAACATCTAAATGTGCTGGACGGAAGCCCAGCTCCACACCCCAGTGCTTTGGCTGGCCACCAAGCTGCACTGCAGGCAAGCAAAACTGGTGAACCACAAAGAAGCTAAGAAAAAGCGAGTGAGTGAGCGTGCGCTTGTGCTTGCAAGCAGTGTTAGAAAGAGTGAGTGTGTGTTGGGTGCTTGAAAGCAGTTTTAGCAAATAAGAATGAAGTTGGGTTTTTTGCTTTGCAATTACCTTACTTAAACAAGTGCCAAGTATTAACGTTAAGAACTGACGGCATTGTTATTTCGTTTGAAAGGTAACTGCATAACACTTTCTACTGTGAAACCGAATAAGGCAATAGGAATGTCATGTAAGCTGTGGTCTAGGAGGATAGCCTAGAGGGATGAAGTTTAAGTATTTTGTAACTAAACTTTGGTGATTTATTACATCAGATGTTTAATATCCTAATACCTAAGCTGAACTCATTGTCTTTTATGAAGAATTTGTCTGAGCTATCTTAGTAGCTCTATCTGTTCAGCAGCCCCCAGTTTTTTCAAAATCTGTCTTTTAAAGCTAGACAAGATGGCATCTAACAGAAGGTTCTTGTGATTCTGGGAGACAAATAGCTTGCAAATAAACCAGAAAGAATCAGAGCAAGAACTGATTCTTTGAGGAAACTTTCTTTTCCTTCTGGATTGTCTGCGAGCTCAGCTTCTTGCCTAGTATATCTTTGGAATTGACTCTCTTGAAGTGTCATTTCTGAATCTAAAAATAATACCCCGATTTTTACCATCTCACCTGTCTAAACATTGTGCTAGATAGTGTTCTTTGCTGCTACTGTGTCTGAGAAAGGATTAGCAGCAAGAATTTGGAGGTTGCGTGAAGTCTTACAATTGGCTCTCCACATCTTTTCTGCTCCTTTTGTAGGTTATCAATTACAGAGTTTTTACACTTGACTGAGGAGTTTTTTTGCATGATTACTATCTGGAAGAAAGCTATTTTCCTTCTGGTTTTAGTAGATTAGCAGTTACCTTATTGCTCTGATACAGCTTGAACGTCTTACTCTTGTGGAGTACTCGGGACGTAAGTTGACTGTGACCGTTAACTCATCTGATAGCTACTCTTACAGAAAGATACCAAAGCTGAAGGCTCTTGGTTACAGGCAGTTTGATTGTACTTTCCTCTTTTTTGATGCAGAATGGTTAGAACTTCCTTGCTTTGCCCCAGTGTGGAGTTAGGCTGTGTGAACTCACTTCTGTCCTGTATCTGCTCCCCAAATATCTCACTGCTGTTAGCTTTCACTGCATTAACTGTAAGTGTGATGCTGTTATGTGGGAAGGCCTCATGTGTCTGCCTGGAGGGTTGCTGTGTGGTTTCAGTCTTCCTTATGAGTTAGCGTGCTCCTGCAGTGGATTTGGTAATGTTTGTTTTACCTGACTCCTCCCTGTGTCGGTGAAGTGGCTGAATACCTCTGGGACCTTTCTGCTTAACCATTTTTTAGATAAATACTATGTGGTGTGTATCTTATGGCCTTATTTGTGGCCCCGGGTATTGTTTCCTCCCCATATGGCTCCTTCAGTTTTAATGAAGTTTAGGGGTGGTGGTTGTTAAGCAGATCATTATTGCTGTTGATTGATGGTATGGCAGAAGCAGCTTTAAAGTCAGGAGGCAGCTTTGAGAACTGTCGTCTGCTGAGGTCGGGAGAGTAGATTTGCTTCTGATGGTCAGAAAGCAGTGAGGCTGCGCAGAGGTCACAAGAAATAAGGATTGCTTTCAGAAGTCTAATCTTAAAGAATGAAGTTCACGTACTTTAGGATAACACCAAGTATTTGAAACACTCGCTGCAAATCAGTGAAGTGTAGACAGATGTGAATACGTTGTAGTGCAGAGCAGAAGTCTTACTAACTTTTAGAATTTTGAACTGCTACGTTGTAACACTAAGTAGAATCTAAAGGGAGGTTCTGTCAAATATTGTATGACACTGGCTGTCATATGGATGGCTTTGCAAACTTTTCCACAAAGGTCGTAGCTAACAATGGCAGACTTAGGTGTTGTTTGTTTTTTTTTCCTACCTGCATTTTTATTTGTCCCTGCTGTTTTGGATGCTGATTCCATTGACTGTGAAGCCCTCTTATTCCTGACTGTTGTGGAGAGGAGCCCCTGGGCACGTAAAGTAGACACTTAAGATACCACTGTGTAATAGTGGTCTGTTCAGATTGCAGTCATCGAGAAACTGCTACTTCTACGTTACTTAGACTGTGGACCAATTTCATGGATGTAGAGATACAGATTGGCTGTGTCCTAGTTTTATGCCAGGTCAAGACCTGGACAAGAACCATTGCTTCTATGTTGTGTTTTCTGTGTGAAGACTCTGTAGGGGTGTGGGCGGGACAGGAAAGATAACATCCTCAAGCCTGTCTCCAAGACATCAGGATTTTGAGGTGCGCGAGAGCCTGATGGCTTCATGCTGCAGAGATCTAGTGTTCACAGGGAAGTTTTTCTTTTGAGAATGACACTATAACCTTATAACTTCTGATGCAGGAATTGGGGAGGGTTAATTCATTAAAAAATGAAAGGATTTGGTTACATTTCTTTAGCAGAAAAACAGGCTAGCTAGTCCTTTTAACTTTCAGTCATATTTAAAATAATCAAGCCATTTTAATTTGTGTAAATTGTGAGTCTAGAAGCCGGAGAGGAAACGAGACTTCTGTTGCTTCAGTCATTTGGGTTTGTTTGTTTTGTTTTTTTTTTAAATGCAACTGGCTCTAGTGAACATTAACTAGAATACAGCACGGTCTTCAAATGTTGACCTGTATCTACAAACTGGACGCTTGTGATAATGAAGTTCATTACAGATTTATTCAATGTCATGATTTGGGGGGGGGAAAAACATTTATGGATAATATCAAGCAGGAATAAATTTGAGGTTAGCAAGCATACCTTTTCAGCTGTCTCAGCTTACTTCATCAGAGGCTTTTGCATAGAATATTCACAAAACAAAAACAGGTCTGGTTTTACTAAGCTTTTTTATAAGCATTTTAACTATTTTAGAAGTAAAAGGCGTCAGGTTTTTGTTTGGTGGTGTGGTTACATTTATGGATAATATCAAGCAGGAATAAATTTGAGGTTAGCAAGCATACCTTTTCAGCTGTCTCAGCTTACTTCATCAGAGGCTTTTGCATAGAATATTCACAAAACAAAAACAGGTCTGGTTTTACTAAGCTTTTTTATAAGCATTTTAACTATTTTAGAAGTAAAAGGCGTCAGGTTTTTGTTTGGTGGTGTGGTTTTTGTTCTGTTTTGAATACCAGCTACCTGTTTATACTGCATTTTTCCTAGTAACTGGGGAAACCCTGCTGTTGGTGTCTGGTATGCTAAATTAAGAGCAATGATTTTTTTTTTTTTTTTCTCAATTGTTTGTCCTTTTTTCAGGTAAAGAAAGCCTTTTTTGCCTTGGTGGCAAATGGTGTGAGAGCAGCTCCACTGTGGGAGAGTAAAAAACAGAGTTTTGTAGGTAAGTAGCTCTAACATTATTCAGGATTACTGGAATTTCCAGGGTGCTTTACTGTTGCAGGAGGTGGTCTGGGGCTAGCCGTGGTCTACAACCTGGAGACACACTGGCAAAGAGGGTTTCTTTTTCCTCCTTGTGAGGAGTGAAATGTTGCCAGCTTTCATAGTGTTGCTGTGCTTTGAGAATCATGATTCTTTTAGTTCTTGACCTTAAAATAGGAACTATAAAAAGAAGAATTTGATGTTACAGTATCCTAATACACACGTGATACAAGCATGTCTTTCTCTGCACGTTTTCAGTAAGGTGCACTGAGAAATCTTTAAATACCAGAACTAATGTTGAATGCCACAGATATGTCTCAATTGGGAGAAAAATGTTAGATCTATGTGTTGCTTTTTTAAAAGTAAAGTAATTAATTGCCACAACAGTAGTCTTCCAAAATTAGATCTCTGTTGCAGTTAGAAAACAGAGTCATAGTGACAGCTACAAATACTATTAGACGTACTTCTTGTGAGCTGGAATGTAGATTGATGATTCTTGGAAATGAATGGTAGATACTTTATAAAGTATTTGTTAAAATACTTTAAATCTAAGGGGGAGGAGCAGTAGTTTCATGCAATACATCATAGGAATGCTGTGTGTCTTTTACATTTCATTTTCTGTCTGTAACTAAGCTCTAGTGATTTATAGCTGATGTCCAGATTAATTTTTCCCTTCACCATTTCTTAGTTTCTTCAGTTTAGATGTAAGAGTAGTAAACAGTGGAGCAATTACATCTTCTCAAATTTAGAACTTGAAAGCTCAAAAAAGATTAATATTTGCAGGTAACTAAACTAATCATCTATATTACGCAGTTTGGTGTTGGTGGTTAAAATGTTTATACTATGCGTGTACTATCTCTTTTTTCTTTAAAAAAGTCACATTTCAATACAGATGTTGAGGAGTACTGTGGAAATGACTGAATGGAGTTCTTTATAATCCATTTTCTTGAATATTACTCATTACTGTTCCTTCATTTGAGTCTGAGAGCATGCCTAGCTTGGCAAGTACATAATGAGAATGTGTCTTATTCGAAAACAAAATGAAAGGCAAGGACAGATCTCCAACCTTTAAAAATGTTCTAACCCCCCCTCTTTTCTTTTCATGTTTTTGGGGGTGGATGCAGTCTGGATTCAAGGTTTTCTTTGAGTCAAATTGAAAGCAGAGTAGAAGCACATAGCTTATCATTTTGGATATCAATTCAGACGCGTGTTTTTATTCTTAAGTATTGTATCAATGTGAAATTCAATATACATAGTTTTGGAATTCAGCTGTTGATTAGTCGAATACAAATAGTATGTTACATGGATTTAATGTTTATTAAATTATGTATTGTGAATATAAATAAAGTAGCTGAAGTTCTGCATGTCAAGTATATATCTGAAGAACTTTTATGTATCACTTGTTACAGGAATGTTAACAATTACAGATTTCATTAACATACTACATAGATACTATAAGTCTCCAATGGTAAGTATGAAGTTAAGCTGTACTTTTATCATTTGCTATACTTTTATCATTTGCCATACAGTACAGAGACTGAAATACCAAAGTGAAAGATTGATGGTGATTGTTGTTATTTAAGTCTTTGGAAGCTTAGATATGTCGTGGGTATGCTCACTGCGGGGGTTTTTTTGAAAGAAAAGATGGCTTTGTGAGCAAGGGGATAAAACGGTATCTAGATATCCGAGTTCAGTTCCCAGCTTTAGCCGTGAAGGTCCTGGGAGCTTGGGCAGGTAATGTAATCTGTCCGCTCCAGTTATACATGTATAAACACGAAGAATTTCCTTAATGAGTGCTACCATTTATTATGTTTTGTGTGGCGCTTACCATAATGATAGCCTTAATTTTGGGTACGAAGCTCCACCAAGTGTTGCAACTAATGAATAATGCATTTGGGATGAAGGACCTGGCTGAACGTACTTACTAAAAACTAGATGCAATATAAAAAGTATGAAAGAACGTGCTTGATTATTGATCACTGTATTTGTGTTCAGGTTGTTTCAAAGCAGATTTTTCAGTAGTAATCCAAGCTCTCTCTAAATAGCGAATATCAATGAAAATGCATTTGGGGAGGATGTCTTTAAGTTACATGAACAAGATCATTGTATTTTAAAAATGAAGTGTGTTGCTATGTGTGGTTTGCATGCTTGTAAAATCACCTTTGTCTCATGATAGAGCTGTTCTGAAGTGAGTATGCAGAGTTAAGCAGAATGCTAGCTTACAGAGGCTTGGGTGCATTAAAAGGTTACTCTGTTCTTGGAGTGATGGTGTAAACTAGTTAAACTAGTTAAATATATGCAAATATTTTAGTTACATGCCTGAGTTGCACAATCAGTTGGGAGATCTGTTGACTTCAATTAACTGTAATTTAAAATTCCCATTGGCAGTCAGTTGATGAAATTCTCTTGCTTGCACGTTCATAGAAACATTTACATCCCTTTCTTGTTCCTGTCAAATTGCAATTCCCCCTCTACCAATTCAAATGTATGTACTATGTCTTAATAGCTAAAAAATCAAGAACAGTTGGAGGAAGCGGACATCTGAGGTATTAGGCTTCTTAAAACTCATGTTAGTTTCTAAAATTTATAGTGAAATTCCTGTCAGATGGCATTGCACACTGGTAACTTCCTTAAAATGGTTTCCATATTGTAAGGACTCTCAGCCTCAGTGCTACCAATTTTTCCATGTGACTTTACCTAAGGTCTAACTGTTGTCACTCCTGTTTACCTTGTCTAACATCCTATTCCATAGGTTGTGCTTAAAATGACAGCGGTAAGGACGAATAGCTGAGAAGTGATAACATTTGACTTAAGTGACTGATGGAATCTTCTGTTAAAAAAATATTAATTAAAATAATGTTCCATCAGGGAACGCTCTAATCTTAATTGGTAAAATTATGCTGAAAATAAAATTCTTCAATATTTTAGTCATTCTTTCTAAATGCATCATCACATGACATACGGTGTTAAACATGTTGCTGTTCATAATCTTTATCTTTAAATGATTGATGAGGAGCATAGATAGTTTATCCGTATAGCATGGTCCAAGAACTAGGTTTAACCTCATCTCATCAGCATCTAGAGTGGTCTCCTGTTCTGATAGCTCCAGTGCTCCTTCCGAACTGCACTCCACTGTCTTAACTGGCTTTTTTGTGAAGTGCCCTAAAAGATGATTTAACTTACATGGGTATCGTTTGTGTCACCCAAAAGTGGTATATTTGAGTAGTACGGTGATAGTATATCAGTTTAACATTCCCTTATACTCTTCAAAGGATGCTAATTCTGGAGAGTAATCTAATCTAAGTGTAGCCTCCTTTAGCTCAAAGATAAACACAGTAGGCTTTGTGGAGACTTCTACCCTTCACCAGTAAACTCTTCAGCTTCAGCACTGTTTGCAGAGGTACCTGACAGAGAAGAGCTGTGTAAGGGATGGCAGGCACCTTTGGCTGAGGCTAGAGTGAGTGCAATTGCTACTAGAAGTGGCTGGCTTGCAGCCTGATACCTCTAGAGAAAGGTGGCTTTCACATCTGGAAAGTTTTTGGAGAACCATCAGCAAGATGGAAGGAGCCACTGTAGAGAGGTTACACAATCTTTTGACAGAGAACTTTGTGAAATAGCTGCTGAACAGCAGGAAGTTCGTGATGTGACCGTGTCTCTCTTCTGTTGTTGGATTTGGTTTTGTGGGTTTCTCTTATTTTTTTTACTTCGAAGACTGGACTCTTGAGAGTAGTTCGATGCTATTGCCCATCTGATCTAATGATAAGCTGCAATCAAAAGGTGCAGGCTTGCCGCATCCTTTCTCCAGTACCATTTGCCTGTCCTTTTTGTTAGCCAGTTACAGAAGCTCAAAGAGCATAAAACTACCAATGTTTTTGTAACTTTTTTGCCTGTTTGGTTCCTGGGACCAGCTGAACACAGGCCAGATGAGCAGCATTGCTGGCGGAGGAGAAATGCTGAGAGCATGCATGACTTAGATGCAATGTCCAAAAACCTTGGAAGAATGTAGTGTTAGTAAAAGATTAAATTGGGGGTCGGGGGGGACGGGGGATGACGGATATGGAGATACAGTGTTGGTTTTTCTGATTGAACTGAGTACTAAACCAAGTGCTATTGCTTGTTTGTAATCTTGTAACAGTAAAATTAATCTCTGTTAGCATTAAGAAGTCATGTGATCAGGGTAACCTTTTTACTGGTTTGGGTGTGTGAGGAATCATCAGAGGGTTTACTCTGAAATGATTGCTTTAAGGTGAGATAAATTACTGAGGAGATGCCTTTGAGTCTAGAAACAATCCAGACTACAAACCCAGGCAGGTAAAAGATGTTTCCTGGCCCCTGAAATGATAGGTCCAGTATGGTACTCTGCATTAAGCAGGATTGCACCCATTCCTCTTGTTGCTGCCAAGAAGTGTTATTCTGGACTGTTCTTAGTCTGTTAGATTGCCTGGAATGAAATGTAAGGAAGTTATTCAGATATTTATAATATTGTTAATGATGTTGGGTTCAGAATTTAATACTTAAAGCTAAACTTTCCATCTACCCGTTGTAGGTTCAGATTTATGAATTGGAGGAGCACAAGATAGAAACCTGGAGGGGTAAGAATATTTACTACTTGATTGATAATTTAGTATGTTGTAATGTTTTTCAGTATAGTGGATTTTAATTAAGTCGTAGACTTAGCTTGTGTCTCTCCACAAACTTCTTAATGAAAGCAGGAATAGTGAAAGCTTGTCTGTTTGCTCCTGCTGCTTATTTTTCTACCTGAAATGGTACGTGGATTAGAGTGATCTGGGCTATGTACTACTTCAGCGCTTGTTCGTGATTAGAACCATCTTGCTCTTTTTAAGCAAGAAAAAAGGAAACTGGCGTAAGGTGACATGTATGGCCGTAGATTTGAGGAGTGTATGTAGAATGGAAATGTATCTGAGCCAGGATGCAGAATGAGTAGATGACCCTACTACGCATTGAGTGAACTGATGGATGAGCAACAAGCTATGCCTGAGTGAACTGCATGGTGCAGCCAGAAATTCATCGAATATGCTGGGTGTCAGCAGAAGTGCTGAACGATGGGAGGAAGCTTTATGTGAAGGATAGACTGTATACCATGAAATAACATACAGAAGTATTCCATGCAGCAGACCCTCTCAGGAAAGGAACTGGTGAAGACCTGTTTGCTGTTGCTGCAGTGACCCCTGGTGGTAATCAGTTTAGTCCTTAACGTCAGCGTAGAGGAGTGTGCGTGAGTGGTAGAATACCTAAAGTAACTGTATACATTACTCCTTTCTTCCACTTAAGTTTGTACAAATGAATTCATAAAATGCTTTTGTGAAAATAGCTAATGTTTTCATATAAAGTGGTAACGGTCTGTTCGTTTTCTATACACAGAGCTTTATTTACAAGAAACATTTAAACCTTTAGTGAACATCTCCCCAGATGCAAGGTAGGATTTTGCTTTTCAGTCTGTAATTTGAAATAAACTACCTACCTCAACACTGAATTTAAGACTTTTTTTATATAATAAGAAACAAATGGTATTGTAAACTAGAGTACAATAGTGAAGGACTCTTAATATAATCAAGAAGGCATGGGAGTTTTTTTATTGCAAGTGAGGAGTTTTGTTTATTATCCAAAAAAGAGAATTTTTAGAACTTTTGTCTTTTGTCCATGTAACTGTTTTGGTAAATTAACTAGATATAGATCAGAATTAATTGCCAGAAAACATGCAAAAAAGGCAACATGATGACCCTTCAAGCTGGCCTGCAAGTCATGTTCATTTCATGAAAATCAAAGACTGTACAGAACCTTGCAGCTGTCTCGTTCTCAGCAATCACAGTAATTGAAAACTTACGATACTTTTCAACACAAATAACTTTCCTTAACTAAAGGGAAGGCAATATCTGTGTATTTTGTTCTGCTCTGCTACTAGGTTGTGTTCCTTAAATATAAATAACTGTCCTTTTTGTGATGGAATTTGAAAGAAATTGGTTTTGAGCTGCCATTATACCTTGTATAGCAAAGGTAGCTTGAGAGAGAGCTTTAGTTGATCACATAACGATTTGAGTACTAGTTAATCGCTGAAATGGAGAGTGGAGTTCTGATTCTCGTGTTCGGTTTAGGGAACAGGATTGCTCATGCCCTATGGAAGGAAACTGGTAAAGAGACTCCTAGTGATTAGCTCGAAGTAATGATATGCTGTATCCTCAACAGAATTGCTGTGAAGTCATCAATAAGTCATTCAATGAAGTCATAAGGAATGTATTTTGAGTGGTAGCTGGTTGCAAAGAATATCGTTGATACAACAAAATAGTATAATTGCTGTCAGTCAGAGGTGCAGCAAGAGAAGTACTGCAGTAAAGAAGGTGCCATAGGACAGGTGTAAAAGGGTACAGCAAGCCAACTTGAGATCCGATCCAGAAATGGACTTGCGTTCTGTGACAGTCAGGCTGCAGCACTTAGGAGTAGTTAAATACTTACTCCAGGAGTGGAATCTACACTGCAATGCTGGGAATCTTGGTTCCATTTGTATCAAACGGGAGTAGTTCGTCCCTGTAACGTCCTCAGAACATATGGCTTATGGTGTATAGGAAGAAGCCTGCTCCAGCAAGGGGGTGTTTATCAAAGTTTTACTAGCTTTATTACTTACTGATTTATTGCAGTTTGTGGTCAGCTGCTTTATCGTAGTCTTACTAGGACCAAGGCGGGGGGAAGCGTTACTTGCAAGAGGCGCAGACTTGCATAGGTTGGAGTATTGCTAAATTGTAGTCTGTAGTGTCTGTAGGATTGTTTCACTTCTCCTGAGAATAACTTTTTGCCAATCCCCAATGATAATTCAGTGAAATGATTAGATAATTGTTTGGGCTTAATTGCATGTATTCACTTACCCCTAAAAATGCTCTTCCTAGAAAATGTTATAGAAGTTTGGGATTGAGATGCATTAAGGGCAAGAACACTCTTTTTCGTTGTTTGTCTGTCTCTGAACAGGAATATCCATTCTGAGTGCAGGGATACTGTGAGCACAGCACTCACTGGAAAAACAATTTACACTTGTGCAGAAATATTTCTACTTTCTAACCCAAAAAGACACTTTCCATCACATTTTCTTACTGGTTTTAGATGTTCATGAGCATATTGTTGTTGATCTGTTTTACCAGCTGCAAAAGTTAATTTGAAATCCATGAAGTTCTGTTTTCTACAACATTAAAGAGAATACAAACAATTATTCATGATATGTACTTCTTGAGGGTTTGTAAATATGTGTATATATCACTTGACATTACTCATTGTCAGCTAGAATTCATTTAAAAAATATATATGTTTTTCTCCTCAGCCTTTTTGATGCTGTATATTCATTGATCAAAAACAAAATCCACAGATTGCCAGTTATAGATCCTGTCAGCGGAAATGCACTTTATATACTTACCCATAAAAGAATCCTCAAGTTCCTCCAGCTTTTTGTAAGTATTTAAAGTTATGCTTTGCTTAACTGGTTCTTTTTTTCCCATCCAGTAGACATCTTTAAGTAATTTAAGTCTTAGTACAGAAACTTCTTGATAAAATTCCATATTCACTGTGTCTATGCATATCTTTTTTTTTTTTGATAATAGAGAAATTAAATCTTGATGTAGGACCTGCCTTTTTGTTTTAGTCATTTAAAGAAACCTAAACAACAAGGACTTGTCTTGGCTGTTTGGGTAACTTGCTGTCCTTTCTGGAAGATCTACTCAGCTTCAGAAGCTTGTTTATGTGAATAGAAAAACAAATTGTCTCCCAGAGGCGAGATTATTGTTACGCATTGTAGCTTGTGTCAGTCACAGGAAAGAATAGGAGGCCAGACAAAGCAATAAGAGTTCAAAATAAGCATTCAGCATATAGTATGTTGTGCCATCTTCTCTCTCCAGTTTCAGTGGGAATGACATAGCTTAGGAGCAAAAGCTTTTAGCGATGGGTTACTATGAAAATAAGTAAATGAGCAAAAAAGTTATATAGTCTGAATTCAGAGCTTCTTTGAACAGAAGTAATGCTTCTAGATCTGAGCTTGTTTTGGCTTTTTGTTAATCTCATAGCACATTACTGTAACGAGCTGTAACAATCATTTGGAGTCTGTAGATGCATGAGTGAATACAGAATACAGATTTCCTAATATATGTACTAATCGTAAGGAAACATGTGAGGTGCAGAAAACCGCGCTGTCAATACATTTATTCTGACTTTCCTAGATGTCAGAGATGCCAAAGCCTGCCTTTATGAAGAAGAATCTGGATGAACTTGGAATAGGAACTTACCACAACATTGCCTTCATACATCCAGACACTCCTATCATTAAAGCCTTGAATATATTTGTAGAGAGAAGGATATCGGCATTACCTGTTGTGGATGAATCAGGTGTGTGTTTGGTCTGCTGTATACGAAAGTGTGGAAAGATAAATGAACCCTGGATTGATGTTGGGGGTAGGGGGAAGAGGCAAAAGAATAAAAAAAGTTTTTAAAAAAAAAAAAAAATGGCCAGCCAGTTGTGAGGGCAACTAATGAGATTTGTGCAAATACGATGCAGGAGATCTTTATGTTGGACTGAGAGATACGATGGCGGTTGCCAGCAGGGGCACAGATTTGCAGAACAGCCAGTATGGTTTTGTGTTGCTTCTCACAGATTTCAGGTGTTTCTTTGTGTAACATGGGCAGTACTGTTCCTCTTAATATCTCTTACTTTTTAACTTTCTTAATGTTTGTTTCTATTTTTGTGATAGGGTTTTCTTTTCCCAGACACTGCCATTCCATGGTCTGTTTTCAAAGAGAGTGCAGATTTCTCCATACAGCCTGGTAATTTGTACGACTCGACCTTCTCAGTGAATTAAAACTATGCAGCCTGTTCTTCGTGCGAGTCTCTGACTCCAGAGCGTTGCCTCGGTGTTCCTTCTAGTTCAGATCTAATTCAGGCCACTGTTTCTGGTTTTCCCTCAGGAGTGCAACAGCGTAGTCAGATTCGTGCCGTGATTTGCCAGCCTTGGACAGCAAGGGCTCCTCTATTCTTGTGGTCTTCAGAAACTTGAAAAATGTTATGGTTTTTTTTGTCCCTGTCCCCTCCCAGCCATATGCATCTGCCTTCTGATTGGAACTTCCAATACCTGTATTATTTTTTTAGAGGTTTAAGTGCCCAAGTTGCATATTGCACCAGCCTGCTAGTGCTAATGAAGAATCCAGGTGTCTGAAACACTGTGTAGAATGCTTTCAGAAATATGGAGAATAGTCCCAGATGGAAATACTTCAAGCTTATAAATATCTCTGGCTGCAAACAGTGCTCTCAATACTGAAAATTTTGCAATGTCACTGTTCTCCCCTGTCTATTCTAGGCATTTGTCTTTTTGTTCTTTGGGATTCTCTACTGTGTAAACTCCTGTTCTGCCATAAAAGCTGTCAGGGAATAGGTAGTAGCAGTAGCGAGAGTGATCCAACACATCAACAACAATGACATTTCACAGTTGGTAGGTTCAGTGTTTCAATTTATTTTGTAACTGCGTTAGACTTGGAGGCAGGACGTGTTAATTTCCAATTCTTTTTCAGAAAGACACCAAAAGGAAGAAGGTTCCTTATGTTTTTCACTTCTTTTCACATTTTAAGTGCTGGGGCAACAAAAATTAGAGGATTTTTATAGACGCTGGATCATTTCTTAGGAAAAATTACATATTGGTATTGGGAAAAAGGAAAGGTGACTTCAGTTTGCAGGGGCTTTTTATGTTCTGCTAATGTCCTTCATCAGGAATTAGTTAAATGAGTTAACTAAAGCTGCTTGTATCCTCATGATCATCTGAAACTTTCTTCTCACGTTCAGTGTAATTCAATCCAAAAACTTGACTAGTCACAGCACATTGTAGTCAAAAATTAACTTCATTTTATTGCTTGGTGTAGTGATTTATTTTTAAAGGTCTGTCTTTTGTTCTTCCTTCAGTGCTTCAGTACACATAATCAATAGGTCAGGATGTGCCAACACTATCAAAATATTGCTGTGGTCCCACCTACAAAGAAAGCTTTTGCTGGTCTGGGTAAAGTCCACTTGCTTACAAGCATGGTCCTCTTAAAATGAAAGTTGAGACTGTCAGCTTTAAAACTCTTTTAATCTTCTTAGTTTTAGTGGTGATGATGGGTTTTATATTAATTTTGTAGTACTTATTGAAATACACACACACACACACAAATTGTTGTCAAATGGCAATGCCAGCACAGTCCAGGAGAGGGAGCTTGAGCCCACAAATAAGAAAGGGGAAGAAAACACGTATTTCGCTCCCTACTTTGCTTGCCACAAAGATGTGCTTCATGGGTGGTGTTCAGAGCAGTTGGTGTCCTCCCCTATCCTGTGACAAACAAACAACAAAAAATTGTATATGCTTAAAGTATATTGTACAATCTGTAGAACTTCATCTTTACATTTTCTACTCGTGGAAAAGGCAGGATGAGTGACATCAGGCCAAATATCAGACAGCAAAGTAAGGAGATTTTCATTGGCCTAATGCATATCACAAAACAGTTTTATCAGTTAACCCAGTCTGTCGTATGGTGTTACACATGATTGCATGCTTGACTGTTCCCAGAAACTGAAGCTGAAGAGCATCTGCTTTGTTTAATATGTGACTTGGAATAGACTCAATTTACACCAGAAATGTGTATCTACTTGGTGCCAAAATATTTACTTTGCGTACTTTATTACTGAGTACTGAGATGTGCTATGTGCCTTGGGTTGTTTGGTTTGTTTTTTTTTCAGAATCTTGCTGCTGAAAAAACATACAATAACCTAGATATCACGGTAACGCAAGCCCTACAGCACCGTTCTCAGTATTTCGAAGGTGTTGTGAAGTGTAGTATGCTGGAAACACTGGAGACCATTGTGGATAGAATAGTGAAGGCTGAGGTGAGTTCGCTTTTTATTTTTCCCTTCACTGAGTTAAAAGTTGTGTTACCAAACTAACAAATAGTACAAATTTGTCCTTTCTAAGTTATTTTGGTTACTTGTGAAAGCATTTTTTTCATAACTCCATGTGTTAGGTATCAGTTTGATTTATAGACTTACAGTTCCTTACAGGGATGTGCAAAGTGTTGTACAGTACATCTGTAATAATACTTGGTTATTTGCATTTCTGTTTTCTGACATTAACTGAACTGAATGCAAAGCTTTTTTGAGAGAATCAAGTTTCTTCCAAGTGTGCCATAAGTTTTGCATACAAATAATTCTTTAAACTCCAGCTTATAGCTAGGTTGATTAGCCTGTTGTTCAGGAAATTTAATGAGTCCAGTTAGCTAATGCAGATGGAGTCCTGCACTGCTCTTGTACAAATACTGTGAAACAGGGCCAGAAGATAAATGCTCGTGAAGAAACCTTCACTAACTGCTCTTGTAAATGATTTATCTGTGTGCTTTTCATTCTTCTGATGCTGTTTATCTTGTTTGTTAGTACTGGGAGCTTTCTTATACGTGGAGGTGAATGAGTATGTAGGTCTTCCTCCCCTGTTAGGCCTCTCTGCAGAAGAAAATCAGTATTACCAGTTTTGGTTGTCTCCGAGGTGTGATCAACTCCATTTAGATGCTTTAACCTCTTCAATTGCAAGATTATTTTTTTTTTTAATCTTCAGGGCTGTAACTGTGCATATACCATTAGGCAATTTTTACTTGTAACTTTCTGCATTTGCTTGAGCTTCTTCCTAAAATTGAATAATTTCAGCATTGCTGACATACAGATTTCAAATTTGGATAACTTTATCACTGTCTGAAGAAGCTTTAGACATTTGGATTTTACCAACTCCTACCTTTTGGTTCAGTCTAAACATAGTGAGATTATGTTAAAAAAAAAAAAAAAAAAAAGAAAAAGTCAGTCAAAGCTACAGGCTATTTTTAGCTGCCAGACGAGTGCTAGATCTTACTGAAAATGAAATGACTGTATTGTCCGTTTCTCTTGAATTCATTACACTGAGAGAAGAATAAAATTGTTAAATATGTGCACATACAAAAACTAATAACCCCATCTAAAAAGTCACCAACATAGTTTCATCAAAAAAAGACCACAATAATATTCCCTCTTCCTTCCCCCCGGCCCCTTTTTCTTTCCTCCCTCTGTCAGGTGGGTATGACTGTTCAGACAATTCAGAGCTCCTCTCTTGTATCTGACTAGCCATGAAGTGGTTGACCTCGACCGTATATTAACATATCTATTCATAAGTGACTTAAGTAAAAAGTAAGCATGTAGTAGGCTCCCAACTTTTGACAAACGCCCTTTTTGGGATCGCACACTTGTGAGCTGGTTCAGCTGCGATGTTTAGGTTGTACAACTCTGTACCCACTTGCGGTGGCCTCCGGTGCCAGGAGTGACATTAGGACGCTCTCCCGGTTCTGCAGTGGTCTTTCACTGTTGTAGCCTGAGCTGGCCGATGAGCCTCAGGATGTGGGAGCATCCACCTACCTTCCCTCCAGTTAGGACAAAAGTTTTGTAGTATAAAACTTTGCATAGAATAGGTTTGTAAGGACATGGTCGTTATTTGAAAATACAGTCTTACCGTTGATAAATCTGTCTTCCAAGTTGTGTCCTTGTGTTAACTGCACAGTGAGTTTGCACAGATAAGTTGAATCTTTTTTCTGTCTTAATCTGTTTAAATAGTTTTAAAACCAGTCTGGCACTCGGTTTCAACTATGTAGCCTCTGACAAAAATTAAGTTAAAACCGACTTGGACATGTCAAAATACAAGTTCTAGTGCTGCACCTCTCTCTAAGAAAGGATTTTTGAGAAGGAAGTCTCATTTTATTACTGTACCTTAGTTTGTGGGATCGCAGCGTGTAGGTTGGGGAAAAGTGGTTGATGTGAGTGCCACTTTTTGAGAGCAGAAGAATTTTAAAGACCTAGATCTTGGCTTAGTTGTGACTTCAAATCTGATTTTGTTGCCATGTCAGATACCTGTGTGCTTTTTAAACATACACAAGTTTTCATTTAAGTAGGACAAGCATGTTTCTATTGCCGTGTGAGATTGGCATTACGAACATTTTGAACCAATCCTTTTTTTTTTCCTACTTGTCTGCATACTGTATTACTTTAAGATTCTTTTTGTTTTTCTTTGCTTTAGCTAATACTGCAAATCAGACAAATATCTCTCAATATGTTTTCCTTGCTGGCAGGTTCATCGTTTGGTGGTAGTGAATGAAGCAGATAGCATTGTGGGTATCATCTCGCTTTCTGACATTCTACAAGCTTTGGTACTCACACCAGCAGGTATGGATGTTGCCTTCTGACCTTTGCCATAAGTCATTTAGTAGTGCGTGCACCCTGCTGGCTTTAATTTACTTGACAACGACAGACTTTTGATTTTCAACATTTGTAACTGTTTGATCATAGTTCTTAAATACGCTATTCATTTCTCTTCAGGAAAAAGCTCACAAAATACTAACTGTCAGTCTTTTGTTCACTGAGGAATGCATGGAGAAGCTTCATGAACATTATTGCTGTTCATACATCTTCTCTTTAGGAAAAAAGGTCTTGATAAATGTTTTAACAGGGAAAACAGGATGAAGTTGGATGTAGCGTGTATAGACAAGATCTACAACAGGGCGCCTTCCCCACCTTCCAGAATTTCTGTACTCTGGCCAGGTGCTCCCTGCGTGGATGCAGCTGTGCTTTGCACCAGCTCTGTAAAAGCACCTCTGTGGAGCCCTGGGTTGTCCAGCTGTGCTGTGGGTTTTGGTTGGCACAGCTATGTCAGACGGCACCCCAGACCATCAGTGTTATTCCAGTAGAAATCTCTAGCGTATTGCTAAACATGATCAGGTTCCTTTTAATAAGAGTATCTAAAAATGGATTTATTTCTGCTACTTTTATGTTGGTTTGTGGGGGGGGGTGTTTTTGAGGGTTTTTAAGTTTTGCCCAAGTTACTAACCTGCTTTATGTTCTTAATTGTAACTTCACTTTGACCACATAAATGACTTAAGTGTCACAAGAACTAAAGCAAAGCCCTCTTTTGGCTCTGAGGAAGACAAAAAAATGTCTTGAGGATTACAATTTTGCCTAAAAAAAAAAAATATATCAGAATAAGAAGATAGAGCTGGATACATCCTTCAAAAAAGTCTAAATGTGAGCTTAAATGGGATCTCGTACTTAGACTTGTACATTATCACATTATCTATCAGTGCTTCTCCTCTGTAGATTTAAAAAACAAAAAAAAAGAAGTTAGTGTAGCATTATAAAATTTCTCCACTGAAAAGAAGTAATCAGTGATACTGCAGAAGGTATTAGGTCAGTGCATCTCGTTCCTTTTAATGACCTGTAAGAGCGTGAGCTTAAATGGGATCTCGTACTTAGACTTGTACATTATCACATTATCTATCAGTGCTTCTCCTCTGTAGATTTAAAAAACAAAAAAAAAGAAGTTAGTGTAGCATTATAAAATTTCTCCACTGAAAAGAAGTAATCAGTGATACTGCAGAAGGTATTAGGTCAGTGCATCTCGTTCCTTTTAATGACCTGTAAGAGCAAGTAACCCAGCTTTCTGTGAAAGGTAGGGATGAGTATGAGAAATCAGCCCAAAGGCCTGGGTCCAGTGGGCGCATTGCCTAGGAGAATGGCGGGGTGCGTGTCCCTCCTCAGCGGGAGGTGTGAGGATCGGTGGACAGTGCCTCTCCAGGCAGAGGGGATGCTTTTCCTCAAGACTGCAGGGTAGAAGGATCCAAGGAGGGTAGAACTTACTGTTAATGGAGCCAAGCTTAGACAGAAAAGATGAATCTGGATACTGACAAACCAAGGGCTTTGTTATACTGGAATTACATGGACACTTCAGTTGCAGCTCTGTGAGCTGATATAACAGTACTCTGTAATTAGAAAGGGCAGTTCCTGCCCCCGTACACAATGTGCATCTGGCGTTCAGCATGTGGCAGCACCGACGCTCACGAGATCCCTCTGGGCAGCTTTAACTCATTGATCTATCGGGAAACTGAGCCAGCAGAAACCTGCAGAGTTTTATCAGTTTGGCACGCTGAACTGGCTCACAGGGGAGTCGAGGACTGAGTGCAGGGGTTAGAGTAACGGAGAGGGCAGGATTATGCTGCTGGAGGAGGTGAGGTGAGGGAAGGCAAGGCATTTTTCAGGAGCGGTTAGGCATTTGGTTGCAGTCCCACAGGCAACTGCTCGATTTTTAGACTGGTATTTGTCTCATGAAGTGAGGATGTCTGCAATGTAGATCTAGTTTGTGGAGTGTGGCTTACCTCTTAAAGTGGATACGTAAGAGCAACCAGATAAATCGTGCCCTAAAAGTGCCCATTTCTCTTCACAGACTAGAAAGGAAAATTTACTGACTGGCAGGAATGAAGACGAGCCTACGTTAGGAAAAAAAGTATCAGTTGTGATGTGAAAACTGGATGTATTTAATGAGTCTTTCAGTGTTTGATTATACATTACAAGCAGTAACTCCAGGTTGCTGGCAAGAGATTCTTGCTCTCTAGAGTTGGATGCTGCAGCCAAACTCGCCATAGGGCTTAGTCGTTGCCCAGCATGTGGTTAGTTGGAGTAATTGGAGAAGAGGCGAGATGCTGTACAGTCCTG